GTTAACCACAGTTTGGGGAATTTCTCTCCGCCAGCTGGGAGGTCTTCAGGGAATTTACATATCTAAGAGGGGGATATGTCCGTCAAACTGCTTTTCCATAGCAGTCTCATAAGTTCCCCATTGGACTGAGATCAGAAGATTTTATTGTCGACGGTGTCCGATCAATATCTTCACTTTCAATGAATAAGTCAACGAGGTTTGCTCGATGGGGACGAGCATTATCGTCCATAAATAAAAAGTGAAATCCCTAAGCCCCTCTGAAATGTTTTACATAAGATTCTAAGAACTCATCCTGATATCTCTGGTTGGTCACAGATCCCGCTTTTGAAAACGCGTACAAGCGCATGTCCCTCTAATCATTATCCTCCCATACCATCACACCTTCATTACCAAAACAATCACGCTGCATAATGTTCGAAAAAAGATTTCGCATTCCCGATTCCTTCAGATGTAAACAGGTTTAGAATCTGATATTAAACTCAATCTCAACTCATCGGTGAAGAGAACATGAAACCACTGGTATTCACTCCAGTTCTAACGCTCTTTGCACCAATTAAAGTTATCCTTTATTATTATTATTATTATTTATTATTATTGCTGTTGTGATGACAATGAAACACATACCTGTAGCTTTCTGGCTTAAAGGCCTTTTTATAAAGCCTTCCGTAGACAATTTGCAGTGATACAACAGTTCCAGCATCGGCTTCAAGCTTTGAACTTAACTGCCACAACGGACAGTTATTGCAAGATATCGATCTTGGAAAGCAGTTGTTATTCATTTACGACCTTGTCCTGGTCTCTTTACTACAGTTCTGAAATTGTTTTCATATCGTCGAGATTGCCTGTCTTGAAATAGTTACACATATCACTCCTTCCATGATTGTCTGCCGTACTTCTAGCCCACCAGCGGCCGAGCGGTAAAGTCGCTGAACACTGGTAGCGGCCGAGCGGTAAAGTCGCTGAACACTGGTAGTTCGGTCCGAGGTTCGAATCCCGCGAACGGGCTGGCTGCATGGGCGTTTTCGTGGTTTTCCCCATGTGTAACGTGTATACGAGCCAGTTTCCCTTAGGAAGTCCTCCACGAAGGCATTCCTCCCTTTAGGCAGATAGCCCTCGAGGCTTTGCCATAATCACACACACACTGCCGTACTTCTAAGCGGCAGACGATTCGCTGCTTCATACATTTTTCAAATGATACCTCGAAGCCATAACAGACTGTTTTGAGTCCCGGTATGCACTGAAATAATGCGCTGTATTAAAAATTCTCTCAGATATGCATTTCGGGTAAAGCGCTTGACTCACCATCAGATAACGTGACGCCTTGATTTGTAAAATCAGAAATAGTGAAATCACTTTTGATTTAGGCTTGTACAGTAAGACCCCGCTTAACGCGGGGGATACGTTCCATCAAAGTAGAGCGTAATGCGAAACAGCGCTAAATGAGGCTATCTTTACATGTAAATATTGGGGTTAGGGGAAGATGGCTAGGAAATTGGTTAGGTATTAAATTTAAAAAGTATGTTTTTTTAATAAAAATAAAACCAAACATTTATTTCTTAAAGCCCAAATTAATACCACATTATTATTTCTTGCAAAAATAAAAACAAATATAAATAACAAACGAATATTCTTAAAAAAAAACAAATAAAAATTCTAAGTCAGTCATATTTAGTTAGCCTTCCGCGTTTTCAGTGTTCTGCCTTTTTGTGACAAAAGCATCTAATGTTGTTTTCCTTTTTCTTTTGCGTTGTTCTCTTAAAAGTTCTTTATAAACGGATAGAGCATCTCTAACACCACGCCTTACTTTTGAGCTCCTGTCAAAATTCGGATCATTTTCAATGAATTGATCCATTATTTCAGTTATAGTAGACAAATTCCTTTTTACAAACGCCATCGAAAGTTCTTTTTGCTCTTCTTCTGAATCACCGCTGTCAACATTTTTGTTTTCTTCTTGTTCAGTTAATTCCTTGAGCTCATCATTAGAAAGACTAGCCGCTGCTTCTTGAATTATTTCTTCGACATCTTCCACATTTACCCCTTCAAAACATGTCTGTACAATACCGCACCAAACAAGAAATACAAGTACACTCTTTCGGATATGTATTTGAAACCTATCGCTGCATAATATTTCGGGGAATCCTCGTATGCTGCGAGCGATTTCGTGGAATCCCCGGGTTGAAATAAAAGAGCGCTAAACCGAAACAGCGCTAAACGAAACAGCGTTAAGCGGGGTCTTACTGTATTTCCCACATTTCCTACAGAAATAAATTTCGTAGATTGTATATTTCAGGGAATATCATTATTATTGGGTATGCAGACATAAATTATGACATGTGTGCATACTGATGAAAGTTCAAATAACTGTTCGTCTAAACTGGATTTTCAGAGGAGTTAAAAGTAAGTCCTCAGCCATTCGTAGCCTGGACAAGTGGTCAGCTGGGTGCAGGACCTCCAGCTAAACAATAACAATTCGATATCTGATCCTGATTTTCATTTTTTCGTTAACGAAAAGTGAGTTTACTAAGTGCAATGGTATGGAGGGAACTGAAAATGATATTATTTATAAGGCAGGAAACAATGATTAAATTAAGGATGGTGATATTCTTGCAGATTTGGCGGTAGCAGACAGACTTCAGAGTCAGACACCGATATTGAGAAATTTGATCACTTTACGTAAGAATTAATTAAAGTTGAAAGTAATTTTTTCTCAATTATTTAACTTATAATATCATTTTTTGGGATCTAATCATTTGTAAATCTTGAATTTGTGTGTAAGGTAACACTAAACTTCAGCAGCAAAACATTTTACAAAAATTTCTAGACTTTTACACGAGAAATATGCGATATTTAAAATTAAGCAAAATATATATTTTCCTCTGGTATTTTTCTTTTTTATGCACAAAAATTATGTTTTCATTTGTTATTGGTGTATTGTTGTACGTAAGGTATTATGATTATGATGCAAACTTTTCATAAGATAAGCAGTAGTTTCATCTACACACGAAAGCAAATAGATACCACGCTTTCTTCATGCAAAACGTTTCAGAAGCAATCACCATGCTTCTTCTTTTGTAAGGTTCCTTTAAATTGAAGCCTAGATAAATTTAACGTTAATGAAAAGGAACGAAAGACATGAATTTTAAAAGTGCAAATATTAGCTTTTACGCAACCCAAGAATTATAAACAGCAAGAGGCATCTGTTTAAAAATCTTGCCTCAGCTCTAAACTAAGATGGTGTGTTTGGTGTTTTTAATTATGGCAAAGCACACTAGGGCTATCTGCCTAAGGGGAGGGATGCCTTTCGTGGAGGACTTTCTAAGGGAAACTGGCTCGTATACACGTTACACATGGGGAAAACCACGAAAACGCCCATGCAGCCAGCCCGTTCGCGGGATTCGAACCTCGGACCGAACTACCAGTGTTCAGCGTCTTTACCGCTCGGCCGCTGGTGGGCCTCTAAACTAAGATGGAAAAAATGTAGCTACAAAATTTATGAACATACGAAACTGACTAATAAGAAAAATCTGGTACTATTCGCTTTCGAGGGCCGTAAAAAATCGCCAAACTATTGTTGATGCCAATGCTGCCAAAAATAATTGCGGCAAGAAAGGAAGTATAATAGTAGTAAATAACTATTTAAGATTGATGTTTTAATTTAAATGAAAGGTTAATTTCATATAATACATTTTAATTTTCATAATTTATATGAAAAAGGTTAAACATGACTGAATGGAAGCATAAGAGTAAATAACTATTTCAGATCATTTAAACAAATTTAAATTCTAAACAAATACGTATTTCAGATCATTATTATAATATATATAAAAATTGCTAAATATAACTGAATGGATGCCTGCATCGCTATTTCGCTACCGACTTATCTCTAAAGGATAATTTCATGTTGTTGGTTGTTCAAACGTAATTTTCTATAATGAATGATGCCTTTTCTTTGAAAATATTCTCGGTAAAGTGCAGAATCGCTCACTTATTTGTTTGCCGCTTTTTACAAGGGTAAAACCAATTGTTGTCAATTTTCTTTTACTTTTTAAGTGAAAATAGGTCGATGTGTACATAGATAAAGTCAAAGGTGTGCGCAATGCCATTTTTGTGCAATTCTAGGATTTTTTTTAAGTGAAAATAGGTCGATGTGCACATGAATACCGAGTATGTGCAATTCTTAAAAACGTGTCAAGCAGTGGGTGATTCTGCCCTTTACCCAAAATTCTATTGTCGAATTTTCGTCATGGGCAATTCCCAAATTGTTAAATCCATAGGATATCAAAAAAGGATTTACAATAAAAAAAGGATAATATAGAACTATATAAACTTACGCAATCTGAAATCAGCGCGTACGCTAGATTTGGCGCGTTGTTAAATGGGCGCGTTTGCTAGATTTGGCGCTTTTGCGCGTACATTTTCGCTGCAATTTTATTACGGCCCTCGAAACCGAATAGTACCGAAAAATCTTTGAATTTCGTAAAGTATTTTATGAAATTTTCTAAAAGATCATCTAAGTTTACGATTAAAAACATGTTAAAACTCCCAAAAATGTATAAGGTATTTCTCTAGCCTTATTAGCATGGATTCGTGATGGAATGGCCAGCACACTCGATGCGTATTCGACAGGTCGGAGGTTCGAGTCCTGAGGAAGGCGTTGCTCATTTTTCATCTCTCCTGCTTTCGAAATAACCTAATATTTCTACAGTGGAGCCCGAACTAAAAAGGTGGTGGATAATGATTCTCCACCACCAGGATTTGGCGATTGTGTCCCCTAATCTCCAGTCGCCGTTTAAAAGGGGGATTATATAAGGTATTTCTCCCACTTTCTTAGCATGTCTTCGTGGTGTAATGGTCAGCACACTCGGTGCGTATTTAAGAGGTCCAAGCTTCGAGTCCCGGAGAGGGCATCGCTCATTTTTCATCTTTCCTGTTTTGAAATAACCTAATGTCTCTAAAAATTAATATACTATTTAATAAAAACCTTTATAATTGAAACTCACTTCATTCAACTCTTTCAGGTCTGTGCCAAAGAAAAGAAACATTACATCCTCACAGATGAATCGCTCTCTGGTATCGCAAACGAATTCACTCAGCAGCTTCATCAATTCGCTATTCGGCAAGAACTCGTTTACACCCAGAAGTTTAAACAGGAACTGAAAGATAAAAATCAAAGTTAATTTTTGCAAAACTGATTAAAAAAGAGACGGTTAATGAATATCATTTCATTACAGCGAGTAATTAGATTAAATAAAATTAACTCAGAATGAAATTTACATCAACTTCTGAAGTAAATGGTGCCAGGTAACTGATGGCTGAAGTAATGTATCCCACAGTCGTCACAGGCGCTAAAGCTACGAAAAGTCGGATCTGAAAATGGAGATCAGAATATTATGCTATGAAATGTTGAATTAACTAAATAAATCAATAGCCACTTAGGTCAATAATAAAGTAAATAATCAAGTAAATAAATCTGAAAAAAAAAAAAATGGTAAAACTATTTTGCATGGTTCTTAATACACTGACTACCAATAAGTATTTGGACACCTGCAATAGAAAAGAAAAACTAACTTTATTCAAAATCAATAGTTGGTAGAGCCTCCACGAGAGGTAATTACAGCATGGACCCTCCAGGGCATACATTCCACAAGTCTTTGTATGACAGCTAGTGATATTTTCTTCCACTCGGCTTGGAGAAGACATAGAACTTCCTTCACCGATTTTGCACGGGTAGCATTTTGCACCTCTGAATTCGGCGATGCAACTCATCCCAGAGGTTCTCGATAGGCTTCAGGTCTGGACTCTGGGCAGGCTAGTCCATTCTATGAACTCCATTGGCACCATACAAAGCCTTAGTTAACGTCGAAACATGACAAATGGCATTGTCGTCCTGAAAGTAACAGGGGTCCAACCCGTAAAACTGCCACAACGTAGAAAGCACATTATTATCCAAAATAGTGCAGTAGGCATCGGAATTGAGCTTACCATGAACGGGGGCCGAGGGTCCCAGCCCATACCAGGAGAAACACCCCCAGACCATAATTCCACCTCCGGCAAACTTGACTGTTGGCACAATGCATTCTGGCAGGAGACGTTCTCCAGGTAGACGCCAGACCCTGCCATCCGAATTGTAAAGGGTGAACCTTGATTCGTCACTCCAAAGAACCCGTTTCCACTGATCTACGGTCCAATTTCGATGTGCTTTGCACCACATTAACCTAGCAGCACGGTTGGACTTTGTGATCAAAGGCTTATGGGCATCAGCACGATCATGAAAACCTAGCAGATGTGCTTCCTTATGGACGGTATTCAATGAAACAATACTCCCGGATGCCTGTTGAAACTCCTCGCGGATGAGGGCCATCGGTTGGGTGCGGCTGAATTTCTCTGGACAGCACTCGTCGGTCTGTATCTCCCAGTTTTCTTGGTCTGCCGACTCGGGGCACATTCCGACAATCACCGCTCACCTTCCTTATTCTTAATCACATAAGCCACTGTCGATTTTGGGTATTTCAGATCGCTAGATATGTCCCTTAAGGATCGGCCACATTTGTGATACCCGATAATTATACCTTTCTCGAAATCAGAGAGCTCCGAACTGCGAGGCATCTTGCATGCGACTAAAGCCAATGCTGTTTCCTACACGATATATACCGGCAAAGACCGTGGCGTACCTTAGGACCGCAGATATCGTCATTTGCATAGGTGTCCAAATACTTATTGGTAGTCAGTGTATTACAAGACTGTACAAGACCTTCACAAGACTGTAATTTCTAATTTGCAAGGCTACTTGGATAAATTCATTTAAATTCAGCAGGTACGTTTGAAATAATGCGATAAAATAAAGTAAATTGACTGATTTGTCAAAATTGAAAAACTTAAATGTTCAGAGCATAAGCCAGTGGGTTTTCCCATCTAAATACGAATAATCTGGAAACGTTTAGATTCTACTTTTGTTAGGGTTCCAAGATACGCAAATACAAAACTGAGTCTTGAAACAGAGCTAAATGACAGGGACTCTTACATACAAAAAGTATATATATGTTTTATTTCCATAGTTAAACGGGAAAATTATAGATAAAAACCTTCCGAATTTATTATATTTAAGCGTTCGTTTTTCGTTATTGATAGCGGTAAAATTCCAGACTAATGCCTGGATGGGAGAAGCATGGCTTAAATATGGGCAATATCAATTTATAGCATTTCAGAGCCTTATCAAGTGGTCTTTTTTTATCCGATTCATCACCTGGCCATCTTTCTTTCTTTAAATAAGTCTTGTTATTTTGTCAGCAATTTAACATGGCAACATGGATTGGTATTATTCAAATATGGCAAAGCGCACGAGGGCTATCTGCCTAAAGGGAGGGACAGCCTTCGTGGACGACTTTCTAAGGGAAACTGGCTAGTATACACGTTACACATGGGGAAAACCACGAAAACGCCCATGCAGCCAGTCCGTTCGTGGGATTCGAACCTCGGACCGAAATACAAATTTTCAGCGTCTTTACCGCTCGGCCGCTGGTGGGCCTCCATCGAAACGTGGAATCTTGGTATTAACGAAAACTTTTCCGTCTACTGCTTATTCTATTGTTTATTCTATAGTTATTTTACTGTTTAAAAGGGTTTAAAAGGGAGAGAGTCTCGTTACTATTCTTTTCTAGTATGTCTCTTGAATGCCCATTTGGCCTTTGTAACAAATGGGCATTCAAGAGACATACTAGAAAAGAATAGTAACGAGACTCTCTCCATATTCCATTCCCTCTGCGTCAATCAAAATCTAATAATTTCAGAGCCCAAATCACATATTATTTTATTTCCAAAACCGGGCAAATCGCTACAAAGGCTACCTTGCATTAAAATCAATAATAGAAGAATCAAGATCTCAAAAGAAATCAAATTCCTCGGATTGAAAATTGACCAAAAGTTTTCTTGGATCCCACACCTCATGGAAATTCGGAAGAAGACCCAAACTATTTCTAGAGCCCTCGCAAGGATGCAAGGCACAACGTGGGGCCTCAAGTCGAGGATGCAAAACATTCTCTATAATACCGTGATCGAAAAAATAATCCTCTACGGGGCATCAGCATGGACTCACCCTATGACAGTGAAAAAGAAAAGACTCTTAGCTTCGATCCAACGCCCCTTCCTCTTACAAATAGCAAAAGCATACAGAACTACCTCAACGGCAGCTCTCTGTGTATTAACAGGAATCCCACCCCTCCATCTGAAAGCAAAAGAAGATGCAGACTTAGCCACGTTATTCCAGCTCAATAAAAACATAGGGGTAGAAGATCAAAACTGTGCCCCCCTTGATTTTGAACAGCCACGAAATCCTTACTTAAGACACTCTGCAGTACATGCAAAACTCAGAATATCTACAAAAGAAGACACTCTCAGTGTACCTTCATTTCCAGTCGTGTACACAGATGGGTCAAAGTTAAACGAAGAGGTAGGATGCGCGCTCTTTGCACTCCTCTCAGAACAAGAAACAACAGAATGGAAAGGGCACCTAAGGAACAACAACAGCGTTTTCCAAGCTGAGCTTTCAGCCATAAAACACGCTATTCTATGGTCTCATCAAAAGCATCTAACATATGTTACCATCTACAGTGATAGCCAAGCGGCAATTAAAGCTGTCAATGATGCAAGAAACAAATCATCAATAGTGCAAGATATCTACGATTTATTATCACAGCGCAAGAGAACATCTATAAAAATAAAGTGGGTAAAAGCGCATGCTGGACAAGCCCAAAATGAAAGGGCAGATGCGCTTGCTAAAAATGCAGCTCAAGACCCATCTCTACCTCCAATCAATGTCCCATTCCCTAAATCGTATGTGAAACATATGTTGAAAAAAATTACATTAAAAAAATGGCAAACTGAATGGGAAAATGCAGAAGTAGGTAGAAGGCTTTTCAACTTCTACAAGAAACCCACATATGATCCATATGTGTGGGTCATATGTGGGTCATCTTATAACTTCTTCATAAACATATTCTTATCTGGACATGGTCCTTTCCCCACGTACTACTTTGCACGAAATTTGAGCGAATCAGACAAGTGCGTATGTGGGGAAAAGGCAGACCCAGAACACTATATTTTCAAGTGCCAGCTCACAAAAGAGCTACACTGCAAAGGAAGGTCACAAATTACGCCTGAGTACATTAAATGCATGCTAACGATACCTCTTTACAACAAAAGGTTTCCTTGATTATGAAGAAACTTTTTGCATATAAAAGAGAAGACATATGTCAAGATGCTATCGCATCTGTATAAAATACCTCTTATTCTACAACTTGCAAAAATAATGCAAGATTTCAGAAATATTGCAAGTGTCTGAAACAGGCTAAATATGGTATAAATAGTTTTTATAAAATAGTTACATTAAGAATTTGGACTGTATTAGTGTAATAATTAAATCATTAATTAAAAAATAATGTAAATAATATACGACTCTATTAGATATATTAGTGTAAATGTAAGTATTATGTGATTTTCTAATGTATATTTTCTGTATTTATGATACATTAATTTACAAAAATAATAATGTAAGACTTCAGTGCTGATGCATTTGTGTGTAACAAGTTAAAAAAATGAAAGGAAATGTATTAATAAGAGAATTCGCCTTAGTAATTCAACTAAGTATGATAAAATGCACAAAAAAAAAAAAAAAAAAAAAAAAATCTTCAATTAGCTCCTTAAAATGATGTTTATTTTAATTCGATGTAACTAGATATACTAATGTAAATATATTGTTTGTATGAAGTACAATGTACAATGAAAGTTTGTATGTATGTTCGAAGTAATTATGTTATTTCAATCTGCCATAATCCAACTTTTGTTGATAGGTTAATTTCTTTGCAATAATTGTATACTATGTCTTTGTAATTGTATATTCAATACGTAAGTCTAATTAATATTAATGTAAAATTACTATGTAAATGTCTTGGTAGGCTAGCATCCGATGCGGGCCAACTAAAAGCCCAGCGGGGTACAGTAGTGCGACGGAGCAACACCTGTAAAAGTCACTGACGAAGTTCTGGTGCTCCGTCCACTTTTCCCTGTCCCTGTCCCTGTTTAAAAGGGATATATGAATGCCGCTATGACGCATGAAAATTCCTATATGCATTGCATGAACTTCAGATTGCATGAATGGCGGTTAGTTAACAAAATTAAGATTTAGAGTTAACAAACTAGTTCTCTATCAACTAGTTCTTATCTGCCATTTATTTCAGTTATGGTTCAGTTATACGATTTATTTCAGTTTCAGTGATTATTATAAGTTAGTAAAAAAAGCTTTTGATAAAGTTTGCTTCAGGATTTGCAGCGGTGAATAATGCATTTGTTAATTAGAGTTATAAATAAAGGTAGAACTACGCAATATTTTGACTTTTCGTTGATTAAAGTGGTGGTATACTGTCTGGCTATACCAATGTAAATTTCATCTAAGAAAATCTCATAGTAACCGAAGCGAATAATTGAAATGAAACATGATGCAGTGAACCTTTTCTGAAACAACCGCCCAACATTGTGACAAATCGAAACCTCTTCTGTAGTTGTTTATTCAGGTGAAGAAGGTCTTTTCATGGATCCGAGGTACATTAAGTCAAAGATTTGTCGGGCTGCCCTTTAAAGGGTTTGTGGCTGGATCATCGGCCGGGGGAGCTGGGAGCTTCGTCCTTGTAGTAACATAGTAACAGTTAGTCAAAGAATCGAGCATTTGTGACTGTCTAGCGAGTATAACTTCTTCGTCTTTCGATTCTATATGTGTTATCGAAGTAAGATAAGTCAAAAGCTCTTTGATTCTGACGTTGACATTACAGCAACCATTAACAGATTTTTAGTGATTTTCCATTCCGGTACCGGCAATGAAAAAAAGTCGTTTATACAAACACCACTGTCTTGCCATTGTACCTGAAGTGAAAACATGAATGGGAGTTTGAAGTCCTTGGTTCTGAAGGCAATGGCGCAGTGGTAGAACTTTACCAAAGAAAACCAATTTCGATTTTTGCAACAGTATTGGTTATTACAACCAGAAATATAGCGGTCTCTGTTGCAAGATTTCGCCAGGTTGAGTTCGATCAGAGATATCGGGCAATGAAATGGAATTTCAGTGCCTGCAAAATTTCAGAAATCTGAAGTAGAAAAGTACTGTATCAATGAGAAGTCCAGGCTATTTTTAGTAATATTTACACATCTCAAATTTGGCCCCTCCGGCAACTGCGGGTACTGCGGAAATGATTTAATCAAATTCCTCGTCATTATAAATATCACGAATACACATCAAATAGTTTTCTGGTTGCAATTTTCTAATTTCGACTATGCGTAATATATGCTTTACGCATGCTCGCGTGTAAAGAAATGTTTAATAAAGTAAACAAATAAATAAATAAATATTAAGCTTTTTTTTTTTTTTTTTTTTTTTTTTTTTTTTTTGTAAATTTTGATACCCTTTAGATCATAATTGCTTTTTATTTCATAAATTACGGTTTCATATTTTTAATTTTATAATTTCTGCATGCCATCTAACCAGATTTAAATTGATGATCTATAATCCGGGAAAATCGATAATCCGGAATCGCGAAAGTCCCGACGAGTCCGGATTAAAGACTTGACTGTACTATATATACGCCAACTGACATTTCCAGAAAGAAAACACATTTTTGTAATAATTTCGACCAGGATGAAATTTTTTCAAACATAAGAAAGTTATCGTAGTTATAAATATTTCTATAAGCAAAGAACGAAAGAGAATGTGCATTTTTAAAGGGTCTTTGGTGATAATAATTACTTTAGGAACATTGTTAATAGTGGTAAGAACAGAATTTTTAATTTAAATTAATTGTGTCCAATAGACAGTGACGGCACACACATACACTCATATATATATTGTTTGGTATGCATTGCTCTTTAACGAAAAAGGTCCGTAAGAATTTTATTTATTGCAACTTCTTGTTAAGCATTTTGCTACTTCCCACTATTGAAAGCGGAATGAGGCAGATGAAAATATTCATTCATTAATAAATGAATACATGCATCATCTGGAATAAAATGATGTCACGCTTGAAAGGAATAATTGTTATCTGCATTTCACAACACGCGATTTGCACAATGTGACTATTTCATTCACGTATGACCAAAATGAAAAATTTCCTCGAATTTTCGGTTTTTCCTCAGATGTTAGAAATTTTACGCAAAAGATAAACGTCATTCCTTTTGTTTAATAAACGTAATAATGTCATATAATGTCAGAAATAAATGAGCCTGTATTGAAAGTAGTTATTCGTTACATTCTGTACCTTTTCATTGTATTCTGGCTTTTCGGAAAGAAGGGCAAAGGCGACTGTCGTTCCCTGAGAGTGGCCGACGTAGAACAAGTCCTTCTGCCCAGTAGAGTTCAGAACGTAATCTATCATAGCTGGTAGATCGCGTTCTGCAATCTCGTCAAAACTATAGAAAATACAGAAAAAAAAAAAAAAAAAAGAAGCTGTAATTTGAAGATTTAATTTCAGCCAAACCCTAATCATGAAAAATTTTGAAAATAAGAAAAAAATATTAAAAGACGTAAAACATAATAAAAATTAAAATACATAAACAAAAAATCTGAAAGGTTACAGATTTTAAATTACGTCCAAAGGGGCGCTTTTTTTTAACATTTTATGTGTTACCTTTATTTATTAAATATCATGTTCTACATACTCAAACCATAAAATCCAGTTCAACAGTAATATCGCAAAATAATTTTTAAACCTGCATATCTTTAGAATTTTCGATACAGAGTCTCGTTCGCTGGAGATTAATTTTTTTTCCGTACAGTGTTGCCGTTGCTCGTTTTGAAAACGTTGAGTCTGTTAATCAAAAATTCGTTGATATGAAATCGATAATAAAATATGAAATCGATAATAAAATAAATTTCAAAATTCAAATTAGGGCTTCCACATGCCCATATTCTATGGAAGATTACGTTATTCAAATTTTGATAACTGTAGTTTTATCACAATGCGAGAAACATACATACATTCATGCAGCTTCTTCATTATTTAATTTCTTTAAATATAATACAGGGCGATAATATTTGGCGGCAACAATTTGAAAAGTGAAAGAACGCTTATCGTGAAATGACGAAAAATGCCGAAAGGAAATTAATAGTCCTTCGGGTCAAACTGCCCCTTTGGACTAACAAACGATTTTATGTCAGTTTTTATATCATTTAAACATAGAAAACAATAAATATCTTTTATTAGAAATTTTCTTCTACCATTAATAACAAATATTCATAAAAATTATCTGTCAAATAGCTTATTAATTAAATGCATATCAGTTTACAACTGTTACATGGATTACTGAAAAGTAATATAAAAACTGAAATAATTAAGAAGGACGTTTATTGCTTTTAAACCGCTCGTTTTATTAATTCACTATCAAGTTTATTATACATCAAATTATTTATTATTACATAATAAAGAAAAGTTATTAACCACTGACTAATGGCAGAACTCCTGGAATCAGTTAAGCACAAGAGCTTAGCCAATTACCAGAATTCCCAGTTATTACCAGTTATCAGACCATCATTTACTGGCCGCTTGCACCTTCTTTATTAATTTTACGTACAGAGATTTGGCCTACACTGTGAAAATTTATTAACAACACTAGGCTTTCAATGAGTCCGTTTCCTTATCAATTTTATCTATATTCTTTAGTAGTGTCTGTTCTGAATGAAATCTTATGTAATGTTCGTGGTCAATATTGAGATGCATTTTGTGAACCCAAATTAAAAATGACACTCAGCTTCAACTTTCCTTTAGATTTTAATACAATATGCATCTTTTTATTCAAATTAATTTATGAGATCATATTTACGGGTATATCAACTGAAGAAAATTTTATTGGAATAGCGGAATCTATGAAGCAGGTGAAATTTACTTTAATTACTTTAGCGATTTCATACGCTAGAAAAAAATGATAACTTAAAAATAAAAACTGTGAATAAATTTGTTTACCAAATGTAACAAGTCAAAAGTCACGTGCGCTTTCATTTTTATTTGTGATTCAGTGGCAACAGTGCAAACGATGTTTTATTCTTAGGATTTTATTTCAAGGAGTCAATTTTGGGATTTGGATATTGAATTGCGACGGAATGTTTGAATGTCGATACTTAAATAAATGTTCTTGTTTTGTGTATATGTTATATCAATACGTTTCTCTCATTTATGTTTGCAGAACTACCGTATAGCATTATTTCTCATTCTTCAGTACATTCCATTACGAGAAAAAGTTGTTTTACATTTCATTACGAGGAAAAAAAATCGTTTTATAGGAAAATACGGTTTAATCTGGATCATCCGGCATCGTTGAAGTTAAAAAGCGTACCAGATTATGGAACATTTCCTGTATTCAGTTGTTTATTTTCTTCGTGCTCTTTAAATTTAGATTTCAGAAAAGAAAAAATTTCTTGAAGTATTATACTAGAAACAGTAAGACTGTCATAAGAGAGAGCGATATATTGATTTGCGTTCAAAATGAAATTGTACAACTGCAGTTGAGCGACATGCATAGTGTTAAATATAAATTGCATTAATCATTAAAATTGAATTAAGCAGTTCCATTTCTAATTGCAGATAAGTGACCATAAAATTAGTAAAGTCACCACCGTATATTGACTTAAATATAGCTAGAAAATTAAGGACGATGTATATTCAAGGGTAAAAATATCTCCGGAATTTAAATTTGGATTAAATTTTATGCATGTATTTTTTAGTTATATTTTTCCTTAATGTATTTCAAATCACCTGAAATTCCAGAATTCCTTCTTGTCGGGAGTGTAGTTCACATTACGTCTGGAGTACGTATTGCCTCTGACATTTCCCATCCAAACATCGTAACCAGCATCTGCCAAAATAAATCCTGCAAGGAAAGAATAAGATGCTATTACAAGTACAGAAATAAAAAGCTGGGTGCTACTTTGGTAGACGGTTGCACGGATTTTGGCGATTTGTTGGCGATTTTTCTTTTGGCGAGTAATACAACTTATGGTAAACCCATTGATGGATAAGTTATTTATGGTAACCGATACTTTGTTGTCATTTTATTTAAAAAATAATGTGTTTTATTGTGCATAAATTCCGTGTTTTAAGTATTATTTATGGCTTCTAAATATTAAAAATCAATTTAATTTTGCATTTTTATTTGAAATAAATATTTTATTGTTTATCATATTTTATGAAATTTTATATTGTGGATGATGTAACCAATGACGTCACCTTACTTTAAAAGTAATTGGTTTTTATATGTATAAATTTAATCTAATGTTTTAAACATTATTTATGGGTTTTAAATATTAAAATACAATTTAATTTTGCATTTTTTTAAAAAATGATTTTATTATGTATGAATTTTTAAATAATTTTAATTCTAGGCGTGATGTAATAAGCTCTCTGATTGGTTATAGAATATTTGTGCATTAACAAGCTAAAATCAGCTCCCTGATTGGTTACTGAAAATTTGTGCACTTCCGCGCCGTTTTAAAATTTAATTCATATCTTCGAATTCCTTGAAAGATGTCTTCAAAGATGTTATTTAAATTATGATTCCGATTTTTTTTTGTGGTACTTATCAATAAGCAATAGGTTAAATGACTAAAAAAATGTAAGTAAATATTTTTCCTTTATTTTATAATTGTATCCTTCAATTTTTTGTTGAAAAAATTAATACACTATTTTCAAAAATTGCTGAGATAATTATTGTTTTAATGTTAATTATATTCTATATAACGTATTTTAAAGTACTTGAATTTAATAATATTCTAATTCTTTTAAATGTTGGTATGATGGTTTTTAATTCGATATTCAATTTCAGTAATATTTTAATCTAATTAAACGTTGGCACAATGTTTTTATAGCGGTATTTTTATTCTCTTTGCTATATGAAAGTAATAGTAACCTTACTTTACTATTTTATACTCATAGTAAATGTATTTATTTACCCTTGCTGCCATCTTAAAAAGCGACATTTTCAACAAAAAATTAATCCATTACTTTTAACGATATTTATTTTTTTTTTAAGCTTTGAATACTTTACTATGCGTAAAAACAGCGTTTTTCAAGATGGCTGACGTTTGTAAAAATCGCGCCAACAATTGCGCCAACGTAAATCGCCAAAAATCCGTGCAACCGTCTACCAAAGTAGCACCAAAAGCTGTGACGAATCCTTTTTAATTTTTTAAGCCCCCCTGCAGCCCAGCGGTAAAGTCGCCAACACTGATAATACAGTCCGGAAAATGGGCGTTTTTATAGTTTTTTTCTATGTGTAGCGTGTATACGAGCCAGTTTACCCCTAGAAAGTCCTTCACGAAGGCATCCCTTCTCTTAGGCAGAGAGCTCTCATGTGTTTTTTGTTGTAATGAAATAAACCTAACCAGATGAATCCTTTTTTTTTTTTTTTTTTTTTTTTTTTTTTTTTAAGACAGGCCCACCAGCGGCCGAGCGGTAAAGTCGCTGAACACTGGTAGTTCGGTCCGAGGTTCGAATCCCGCGAACGGGCTGGCTGCATGGGTGTTTTTCGTGGTTTTCCCCATGTGTAACGTGTATACGAGCCAGTTTCCCTTAGAAAGTCCTCCACGAAAGGCATCCCTCCTCTTAGGCAGATAGCCCTAGTGTGCTTTGCCATAATTAAATACACCACACCACACCTTTTTAAGACAATCATCCACGTTTCCATACACATTCGTTTATGGAGGTGGTAGTTTTAGAAAGGTGATGCTTAACACTGATATTTAATTATATTCTCAGAGCACTGGTAGCTTTTAGATGTGATCTTTAAGCCTTGAAATGGCCTACAGTAATTGATTAATTCGGAACTAAATGTATTTTTCTCCAATATGCATTTAAATCAGGCCTAGACAGAATGTAGTTTCAAACTGATTTAGGCGACAACCTACGGAAGGCTATCAGGAAATTTAAATAAATTTAAAGAAACGAAATAATAGATAATAAAATTAAATAAAATGCAAGGAAATAAATTGATGTCAAATAATTCAATAATAGTTTAAAATACTGGAACTCGTTTTATTTGGAGCTGCAAATGGAATTATGATTTCATTCAACGATTGAGAATTAATGAAGCCAGGCTGTAGATAATAAAGACAGGCTGTAGATAAAATTTTAAGGTAAATGTTAAGGTTGCTTCAATCCATATTTACTCTCTTACCCTGTTCTAATTCTGTTATGTAGATATGCAAGATAAAATTCTAAACTTCAGTTAATATAGCCTTTTAAGTTTCTATTTTTTAAAAAATTTTGATTATTTTCTCTTTCTACCATAAAATTAGTAGTATATTTATAATAAATATCTCTGAAATACGTCATTTTAAAAATTAATCTATGCCATATGGTTCTTATATAACGCTAATGACACAAGCATAATTGCATCATCAATTTTTGCACATGACAAATGTCAAACAGAAGTCTTTTTTGCAATAGTAATGTAAAATGTACTAAGCAAAATTTTTAACAAAACAGTAAAAACAAAGTGGCATGAATATAAGGATGTAGAACCATTAGGCCATTTTGAAGCAGAAGACATGAAAAATGAGCAATGCCATCTCCGAGACTCGGACATTGGACCTCTCGAATACGCGCCGAGTGTGCTGACCATTACACCACGAAGGCATGCTAAGAAGGCGGGAGAAATACTTTATATACTCCCCCTTTTAAACTCGAACCCGGAACTCTCGATACGCGCCGAGTGTGATACCGTTACACTACGAAGGCATGCAGAAAGGGGGGAGAAAATATATATACTCTCCCTTTTAAAAGGTGACTGGGGGTTAAGGGATCCAATAGCCAAATCCTGGTGGTGAAGAATCATCATCTACCACCTATTGGTTCAAGCGCCATTGTAAAAACGTTAGGTTATCTTGAAGCAGAAGATTTGAAAAATTAGCAATGCCCTTGCTGGGACTCGAACCTGGACCTCTCGAATACGCGCCCAGTGTGCAACCATTACACCACGAGGGCATACAGAAGGGAGGGAGAAAATACCTCATAAGAAATCAACGCATTTCTATGCCCATGTTTTCGTGGTGTAAGAGGTAACACGTCCAGATGATAACTGAAAAATCGGTGCTTCGAATTCTATCGAAGGCATGGTTGGATTTATACATTTCCTGCTCCAAAAACTTGACGCCTCTGCAACATCACGTCTCTGCTCTTATACCAGTATCATCGCATACTTTTTACGCTTTTCTATGCTGTGAAAATGTCCTTCGCCATTTCTTTTGTATCGCTATTTGCAATTCTATGCATACAAGAAAAGTAAACTTTGTAATTATGCAATTAATATTACGGATGCGCGGCTTGGACGAATTTAGCTTTTGCATATTTAATAAAATGTTATGCTAAGATTAAAGAAATGTTCAGCCGGCCATGAATGCCTTCATATAAAACCCAGTTTGTATTATCCTCTACGGTCTACGATAAACTCAAAATTTTCATTGAATATGTATATTCAAGTAACCCATCTCTTGTACTCTGTTTCACTTTTATACGAAAGACTTAAAGAAGTAAAATTTTCGATTAGGTTAGATAATTTGAATACGAGAAAATACCTGTTTAAGGGATGAGATGACTTCGTGAAGGACTTTCTGAGGAAAACTGGGTCGTATTCATGTTAAATATGCGGGAAAACACGAAAACCACCCAAACGAAACACAAAAGCAGCCAAACAATTCGGCAAAAGCAGCCAAACAATTTGGCCCAGGTCGAACTATCAGAAATCAGCGGTTTTAACTACTCGGCCAGTGGTGGGTTAGCATTTTCGGTTAACGAAAGATGTTCGAAGATAATTTTCACTTTTACTAAGAAAGGTGAAAAACTGAAATTCGTTAGGCAATTAATAAAATTTATTAGGTCATTCGGTTAGGCAATAGCTAATGAAAAAAATATGGATATGGACACTGCTTGACTTGCTTATACGGCTGTTAAATTATGCACATTTTTTGCTGCATTTCTCTTAAACTTTTTTCCCCGAATTTCATTAGATATATTTTCATTCAATCAATTAATTTCTCACTTCGCCGCAAGGAGAAGCTCAAACTCAAAACTCGAAAACGCCTTCATTAAAAATCAAAACGCCTTCATTAAAAAATGTAAAATACAGAAAAACCTAAAACACCAAATAGATTTAAAACTTGTTAAAAAACAAAAAAATTAGATTAAAAATTAAAAATTAGAGTTTAAATTAATTAAAATTAGGTAGAAAGACCGATTTTTCGGTGCATACAATTTTTCACCCCACTCTGAAAAAAGACACTGAAGTTGATGCAGAAGCTGCCTTTATTCACCATCTTGCTAAGTTTGAAATGTAAGCAAATGGCGGTGTCGTTAGGCTTAGTGGAGCTTAAACAACTTTTAAATTGTAGATAATTCTACAACTATTGCATGCAGATTAACTAAAGGCATAAAAACCTTGACTGGAACATAAGAAAAATATTTTCGCGTTTGTATGGGTTCGTGGATTTGGAGTGATTAACAACACTTGATGAAGAAAGAAAACACAATTTATTAGTCAGTATTAGTCAGCATAGCTCCAAAAACAGGTTTACAGTTGTCGAAAAACTACGAAAAACACGCTGAAACAATCAGCACCACAGTCTTCAGGCTATAACGGTGAGACGGCTTCACGACAAAGCACTAGAGTACAGCTTCTGACTCGGTTTGCTCTTTCTAGGAACTCAACGTATTCTCGAGATTCTCCACAACTCGCGATGCACTTGAAAATACAGTTGATAACCTCAACGATGCATACTCTAGATGCACCAACTCGCGATACGCTGACGAGACACTCAACGCTAGACTGACGATCAACTCGATAGACTACTACTCCTAGTACAGGCAGGGTTTATATAGCTTTTGGCCTGCCTTCGAAAACATTCTGGGACAAACCAGTAAGGATTCGTGGTGGTGAAGAATCATAATTCACCGCCTTTTAATTCGGGTGCCACTGTAGAGACATTAGGTATTTTTGATACGGGAAGACGTGAAAAATGAGCAATGCCCTCGCTGGGACTCGAAACTCGAATCTCTCGAATAAGCGCCAACTGTGCTGGCCATTGCACCACGAAGGCATGCTAAGCAGGCGGGAGAAATACCTTATAAGTTCTTTGTCCTAAAGGGAATTTTCCCTTTTACGTATAAAACGGTGTAAAGCGAAAGTACCATCTATCATTTTTTTTCGACGCAGTGATTTAAGACAAATGTAATTCTAGAGCAATTAAATTTTGGACAGTTTTGTACGATTTTTTAATTGCTTCGTTATTATCCTAAGTATCTTCAAGTCAGTTTTTGTGCATGAAGAATTTTTTAAAAAATTGATGACTTAGTCGATGTAAGAAATACTTGGGCCTAAGCAAGAAATACATCCAGTCTTTAAATATCTTAAACTGTAAACATACAAAATTGTCCCCGGTAAAAGATACAGAATGGGGCTTCCATTTTTTCCCAACGAGTAACTTACAGCAATTCCAATAAAGAGATTGTGATCTTTTCTATAATGATTATTCCATAGCTATCTATGTAATATACGTATGGAACAACAATACTGGTATCTAGTTCTTTAGGGGGGGAACTATGTTTTTAGGTTTTTAACTTTGTCCCTTTAAATAATAAATATGTTCACTACTTTTTCACTTTATTTGAAATTAATGGAAAACTGTATTTGAGATATATATATATATGTGTGTGTGTGTGTATGCATATACTTTTTTTTTTTTTTTTGCTAAGGATTGATAATGAAGCACTTACCTAAGCTCTCGTTAGGAAAATTTATGACCCAGTCGGACGAAGCAGAGAGGAGACCATGTTGTAAGAATACCACATCTTTCGGCCCAGTGTTCTTGTTGACTTTGCCGTGAGGGATCCTCTGCATGGACAATATGAATCCATCTTTAGTTTGGACATAGTGGTCTTCTACAGGGTAACCCTTACTTGAAATCAGTAAGCTCTATGCAAAAATGAAAAAATAAATAAATATAATAAAGTGATCGACATGATTACAGATGAGTTTCTACTCCTGTTAATGTTACATTAACAAGTTATACATTGAATGGAAAAGAAAATCTCTCAGCTTCGGATTTGCCAAAATATTATTGTGGAACGTTTCTGAACAAAGGGCTTTTTCTGAAGGCGCTTAGACTTCAGAATAGAAGTAATAGATCCAATGTATGATACTGCTCCGTTGACCGCTTAGGCCTCCAGTAGATCCTAACTAACAGAGTTTTTTTCTTTGACTGTTCAGTAGTGAGTGACGGAGGACGTGGGCACTGTTCCTTTACCATATTGGTTAATCAGTACAGCACCACGTCCACCATTATCTAGAACATCCATTGGGACTTGCTGCCATCCAGCTGCCCGGGCATCAGTACCAGTTGGGATGGTTTAGTAGTAAAAAGATTATTTAAAATCTGTATATCCGATCAACACAGTGGCGTTGCGAAGGGGGGCAAGATGATGTATGATGCCCCTGGCGCCGTTTGCAGAGGGGCGTCAAATGGTCTCTAAACAAGATTTTCATCACATCACTGTATTTTTTTCGGGGGCGAGACAGGGCGCCAGTTATGCTCGCTACTCCACTGGATCAACATTTGTTCACAAGTCTGTATGATCAAGGAAACTATATGGATACTTCATTGAAGACAATAACAAAAAGCATGTTGATGTGAGAATGGCATACATTTCATTATTACCTTATTATCATTTATGTAACTAAAGAAATTCACGTGTAAATTAAGAGTAATTTCCGGAAAGTTCATTTTTTTTCCAACTCATGTACAGCTTGTCACTTTAGTTTTTTAGGTTACAAAAATAAACAGTTTTGGAATCTAATCATTTAGAAAAAATTTGTGGTATTCCCCCCCCCCACTACGCTGTATGAATCTCAATATTAAAGTTTATCAGATTTTTCATAAACGTTATGGCCTGAGTCAATGACATGATCAGGATAAGTTGATAAGCAATGATGACATTAACAAAACCTTGTAACGTTCCCTTTTTCTCAAGAAACGTGGGGACAGGAAGAGAACTCCTCTGGCTTAGCTTCACCCTCAGAGAAAGGGCAGAAAACCATGGAGGTAGGAAATAAAGTAGAAAATTTATTCTTACCTCCCATGCAGAAAACCTTCTCGTTTCTGCCAGACGGGGGGTGGGGACTTTTTCCCCGGTCGTATGTGGGAGTAAAAGAGAGCATTGGTATTCAAAAGGAAAAGAAACGACGTGGTGAGTTGCTTGACCCGTTGTAGAAAAAAATGTATCTTAAAGTTTTTTTTTTTTTTTTTTTTTTTTAAGATGTAATCTGAATGTAATTATATATAAAAGTAAATTTATTTAGCCTAGAACATGTCTTGATCATTTGACTATGTTATAACCTAAAAGGATTTAAATCCAAGCATAATCAGTCTATTTAAATTCTCATACAACATATATGATTCATGCACAAATCATTTGTAGGTTTCAGATATACATGTTTTCACAGTCCCTATTTTTTCGGTAATAGTTTTCTAGGCGTCTATTCACAGCTCAAGTTTCAAGTTCTAAACTGTAAAATTCAAATTTGGGCTGAAAATTCAGTTCGGAATTTTTTCATTTTTATATTAGTATTCTAACATTGCACAGCAGAATCCTATAACCAATTTTCCCTAATATTTCAGAACATTTCAGTTTAAACAAACTGTGACGTTTATGAAGATATACTTTGACGTTTATATATGGAACTGAATAAACAATAATAATAATAATAATAATAAATTTTATAGAGTTTTAACATACTTAAAAAATCTGATGGGTACACCACATGACTTCCTTGCACGGAATATTAAATTATACGCATTTTTTCTTGCATTTTATTTAAACTTATTAGATTGAATTAAACTTACTTCGCCGACAGCGCATAAACCACAATAGAATAAATGCATTCTTTAAAATTCACTTTGTTTACCATAGCGACACTCTGGCGCTAGGTTTACTTTATTATATTTCGTTCATATTATAATTATGTCTATGTCTATGTCTTATCACTTAGTAAGAGGCAATCGACCATTAACGGCCTTTACCAATATATAATACTTGACTTTTAAATGCTTGAAGAATCGAGTAAGTTGTATCGAATAATATGGAAGTACTTGTACACATGCTGTGCTAGAACTCAGAGATTACTAGCAACGAAGGCTCCTGTGCCGCCGTCCGTAGAATAAGTAAACTTTGAACAAAAGAGGTACTCGTATGGCGCTATCTATTAAGAGTGATCAAAAGCATTTTAGTTGACTGGAGCCCTGGTTGCGCCATCTCTTGCAGGGTGTATTGTAAGGCATTTTTAAAATTTCATAAAAATTATTCTTTTGATAAGCAATAATTGGCAAGTAAAATGATGAAAAAAACAATTTGCAGTACATTGAAACGTTTCACAAGAGTAAAACCTATTTACACGCAAAGTCTACCTGCTTTGGCAGAAACAAAGTCCATAGTGCTTTGTAATTTGATAAGTAAATCTATAAGTAAAGAAAATGAAGTAAAATCTTGGCTGACTAATATTATAACTCAGAATGCACAAAATTTATATCATTTAAAGAATTATCTAATCGTTACCACATGTTCTATTAAAATACTATAATAAAGCTAGAACTATGTATTAAAGAAATTAAGTAAACAAAACAAAAAAAGAAACAGTTTTTCACAGACGTTTGAGTATTTGTCATTCAATTAATTCAGTTTTCCCTTCGCGTATATTAAATTATACGCGTTTTTTCTTGCGTTTCATTTAAACTTATTGGATTGAATTAAATCTACTTCGCCGACAGCGCATAAACCACAATAGAATAAATGCATTCTTTAAAATTCACTCTAGTATTTGTTTACCATAGCGACACTCTAGCGCTAGATTCACTTAACAGTATTAATAATTATATAACAGTTAACTTATAATAATTATATAACGGAAACTAAGTTAACTGTTATATAATCGAATAATTATATAAGAGTTAACTTATATATTTCGTTCATATTATAACTCATAATGCACAAAATTTATATCATTTAAAGAATAGAATTATCTAATCGTTGCCACATGTTCTATTCAAATACTATAATAAAGCTAGAATGATGTATAAAAGAAATTAAGAAAAAAAAAAAAAAAAAAAAAAAAAAAAAAAAAAAAAAAACAGTTTTTCACAGACGATTGAGTATTTCTCATTTAATTAATTCAGTTCTCACTTCGCGAGAAGGCAAAAATACATAAAAACTCAAAATATCTATATTAAAAATTACGAAGTAAATCTTAAACGCTTATTTCCTCGAAACAATTCCAGAAAGGATTAAGCATGATTTAAATAATAAATGAAGGCGTTATCTTTGTTGTTGCGAAGCTAAGTTTCTCTAAATTGGCAACAAATCCACTAGTCTCCTGTTTCAAATGTAAACATCAATGGCCGCCATTAAAAAAAGGCTTAGCGGCACTTAGACAACTTTAAAATTGTTGATAATTCTAAAAATATTGCATACAGATTTACTAAAGGCATAAACCCTTAACCGGAAGATAAAAACAACATAATTAAATCATTTTTAAAGCAAAAAATGTACAATTTACAAACATATAAGAGTAAAGAAACTGAGATTACTGAGCCGGGTAACAGAGTGGATATATTTATAAATATATTTATATACGTTTGGCGCGGCCGATTGAAACCAAAATACGAGGTGCACATTTACACGTTATAGTAGTCTTATATACAAAATTTCAACGTTCTGGGGCTACTCGTTTTTGAGTTATGCGAGATTCGTACGCACGTACGTACATACGTTCGTACAGACGCCACGAAAAATTCTCTTCAGAATTCATTTTAAAGCAGTTTTTTAGTTTTTTTTTGAGGAAAAGAGTCTTTTATTCTGTCCTTACGTACAGATATCAAGCAAAAACATCGTTAAATTGCATTCGAAAGCGATCAAAGTGGATATATTCGTTGAAATATGCTGCCTGAAGCTTGTCACGATTACGATACTTCCTTTTTACTTCGTACAAGGAAGTAAAAACGAATAATTAGATTTTAGTAAGTTAGAAAATGTAAATATTATATTTATTAAAAAGGGGGGGGGGAGAAAAAGAAGCAAGATATTCCAGCTGATTTAAATTTCAGCAAATAATGCATAATTTAGTTTTGATGTCAAACTTAACTAGCAAGAGTTAGTTTACATATCATACGCACTTACAAATAAATATTTCTGTTTAAGAAAACTACATAGCTTCAATCATTTGAATAATTTTTACATTTCGAATGGCAGGGGTAACGGTTTGTGACCGTTAAGCTAAAATATAAGAGATGAGATCGAAGTTTTCATATAATACGGCTTTGTATGATCAGGTATGGAATGATTTGCAGAACGATTCATATTATTGAACGCGTAAATTAGTAATATGAACGCTGTGATCCTTCGGTCACCTTAATTCCAGTTCCTAGAATGCCTTGCTGGCAGTATTATGCCCTCTTTACATTATTAAGGGTCCACGAGCAAAACAATACACTAGTACCTCTGCGACAATCACTCATAGAAATGGAATGTAAATGAAATATAAAGGGATGAGAATGAAATATAAACGGCCATTATGCTCGAGAGGCCTATCTAGCTGGCGAATGTGACGGCCCTGCCTGTTGGCTAGTTAAAGCCCTAATACATATGCCTTTAATGCACGATTAGACAATAGTGAAATCATTTAAGAAACTCCTCCTGCAAAATCCATAAGTTATCAATTAGGTAAGCAGAATAACATAACCATGCTCGTTGCGAAAATGCATGACGACTTCATTGTTTGATTCATCTGGATCAGTTCGAATTCTTCTACGCAATAATATTCGTTTGGCTATAGAACAGGAAGTTAGTCTCTGCGCACGCATGAACCTATCCATAGTGATTATCGACAGAGAATGATGTCATCCAAAAGCATATTCATACTTGCGC